GTTAATCCCTATCTCCGGATTAACTCTATCTAGTGGGCCCAACTGAGTAGGAACCTGAAGACGGAGATAGAGCCCCATCTCGGAAACGTCGTTTTACGTTTTTTACGTTTTATTACTAGACGATGGATAATATCCAAGTAAATTTTTATTCAATTGACTCTTCACCATCGTCAAGAAGTTTTAGATTTGATATGTGTTTATATTTGTTCTACCGCAGATGCAAAAATTATTATTGCCATTCCATCTTTGACACCGTTGGCATTCGTGTGCCTACAAGGCGAATAGTTCTCTACTTTGCATGTGTGACAAATGGTCTAAGACGGTTTTTTGAGCTAGGAGTATCAGTGCTGCAAATGGCTTACGCAGGTTTTTGGACACTATCAGCAAAATCAGTGTCTGCTTTGAGGCCGAGAAAGTGTTGAGATCGATTATTTGAATTTAGTTTTGTTTTGTAAGATTTGAGGTTTTCACAGCGGTGAGTATGAAGATTACCGTCTTCTGGGTTGTTGCGCTGTGTAGTCTGGTCGATGTTAACCAACGTTTCACAGGTCATACTGCCTCCGTCACCCTGATGACGGAGGCAGTATGACCTCTGAAACGTTGGTAAACAACCCAGAAGACGGAAATCTAGTTTTGCTTTGTTTTCGCTCTTCTGTTTAATGTATATATTTACTGCTTGAAAGTAAAGACAGCGATTTTCGGATGATGAGGTAGCGATCTGATTCACTATCTTATAATAATGTATCTGCCAAGTTGTTTACCGACTTTGCATGTCTGTAGCAGACGGTTTCATGATGCGTGCTTTTGACGAGATGCATTTGGCAGTCAGGTGACGGGCTGTCTTATTTAGCGCGCTGCTTTGTATGCCGGAACAAATTCAGCACTGACTAAGCATTTATCGCCCTGCCGCAATTGAGTAATGGTGTTCCTAATCACATGTCTTCCGGATGTGTTGGTCTGAGTTTCTGAAAGAAACCCATCTTTTGTTCTTGCATTCAAAATGGTAGACGCGTTATTATACGTTCGTTGCACGATGAATACAAAATGAGGTTGAGTTTGAAACATCTCCGAAACTACTACTACTGTATTGTGCACTGTACATGTGTATTTATCCCGGGAATATTCTGTTCGTGTCCGTTTAATGTACCCCGTTCCTTTACGAGAAGCTGGAATATAAATTGTATCTATTGTCTCAAAAACATTTTATTATGTACAAATTTATACGAAACAAAACACTAGACTGTAGAGTGTGTTGTTAATGTCTGACACTTTTAGTTCATTTGTAGTGCAGTTTGTACGAGTAACAAGATAATTTCCTGGTAAGAGAATTTTAAGATGCAGTGTTCCTAGTAACAAAGCTCACTTTTGAAATCGATCCTTAGTATGTTTAATCGAGTTCGCATTATCGAAAGCTATTTCCCTATGATCCGTTTTACTGTTTTCCTAGCTTCTCTGTATTGTTTCCCAAAGTGCTCGCTTGTTAATCAAAATTGTGTGTATATTACCTATTTCGTCCGTCGTAACTTTATGTTTGTCCCACTCTGTAGGAACAGTAGTTACGAAGATCTACGTTGTATAATATTGAATCATTCTGTATAATAAGAAAAGAATTACAGCTTAAATTAAGTATTTAATCTTTGGCGAATACTTAATAAAAGTAATACATAAGCAATTGCAAATATTCTCATGTGTTTGTGATAGTAAGTCACAGCGCGTTTAATGAACTGCGATGAAATGTCCTCGTTTACGACCCCGCGGATCGCGAGTCTTTAAGAAAGATCCATTACGACCCCAGGCCTGAAAAGTTTGAGAACCCCTGGTTGATAACCATAAAATACATAATAATGTCTGTCAACGGGACATGTTTATTGAATTACAAGTCTATTTTAAGAAGTGACTGCGGCTGGTATTGTGTTGTGTTGTCCTTGTTGGATGAAGCGTGATCCAGGCCGATGGCTATTGTCTCCGGACAAGGAGTGATGTGTGTTTGCAAGAGATTTTATTCAGATTTATAACGCGGAACACAACAATCTGCGTGGATCAGTGATTAGCGCCATTATGTGGGCGTACAAGTGAGGCTGACAGGTTGTGTGTGAGAGCAAAAGCCCTTCAACTCACACGCAGTAGCCCCCTAGAAATGGGAACTCATGGCGCCAACAAATGTAAGGCCCTTACGTCAGTGTGGGTAATGCATCTTCGAAAACTAGGCCTGTACGATTTCTGAAGAAAGTTTCTTTTTCTGTATAATGTAAAACAATTGTGTTGCTCTTTCGTGAAGTCTTTATTTAGCTTTTCATTTGACAGCGATAATCGACGATGCGTTTATCGCCCGATGATGGAGGCAGCAAGGACCTCTGAAACATTGGCAAACTTCTACCAGACAACACGGCGCTACAACCGCATTGAAAAATCTCGAATCCTACTTAATGACGCATTTGTCCTAAGCGTGTGAAATTTTGTGCGACACAAGTTCTGAAGTCTGCTTGCAGCAAGTCACATTTTCTTAGCTTATGGCACTTAAACGAAGAATATACAAGGTCTTGAAAGAGTGGTGACTATATATACCACCTGCTTTAACAATCAGTGACTCTGCAGGTTGCCATCGTAGTGTATTTATGTGTTTCACATGATTCTCAGAATAAACAGCTGTTACTTCTTTAAGTAGCATTAACCAATTGTCATGGACACGTGTTGTGTTTTCTTTGCGGTACGGACTGAATTCTTAAACATTATGTAGATGAACTTTGGCTTCGAAGGGTTTTGGGACAACTGATGAGATATAAGAGTAGATTAGTGTATTTCACTCAGGTTTCGGCTGAACCTGTTTCGGCTTAGAAGAACGCTGTACCTATATGCTTTTTGACATGTAATTACGGAACATTGTTATATTTGTATGTTATTGTTACATCTATAAAATGTAAACTGAGTATCATTCTTTTTAAATTAGCATTTTTTTTCCTGCGACCAGTCCCCGAATAAAAATGTGTCCGGCTCTTCTGTATTTGCGTAAACTGATTATAGTTCCATGTTTCTGCAGTGTTTGAGCACATTTGTACGCCCGGTTCTGTTGATTCTGCAAAACCCAGCCCTGTGTTTTGTGTTTGTTCCGTTACTAACAACTTGGCAGCACCTAACATCTGATGACACTTGCTGGGACAGGTTGCGTGGGCTCTGTTTATGTTGTAGTCGATGGGACAAGTATCGATTTCACTGCGAACTTTATAAATTTCTATTGTTATTACTACACTCGTACATGCTTAAGCTCTCCAAACGGTGAATCAGCAACGAGATGTGAAGAAATAGCAATATCTGTATAAGAAGCGAGTTACCTAAGTTGGTCACAGTTACAGAGATTGGAAATACGCGGTGCAATTAAGCCCAGTGTCTGCCATGCCTGGCACCTAAGATACCCC